GGCCCGGGGAGCGCTGCGGGGCGGCCTGGCGGAGCAGGGGGCTTTCCCGTGGTCGTCCACAGGCCCAGCTCTCGCTCGCTCTCCAGAAAAACCCCCACCCTCGAACAAAAAAGAAGCCCACCCTCCAAAAACAAATACCTGCCCTCACACACACCCCCACACACCCCACACCGACCCAATGGCTTGGCTGCCTCACCCCAACCTGTCAGAATTGCTTCCCGGGAAAACTCACTCCCACAGGAGTATCATCTCCCATGAGTGTAAATAGAGCATCCAACCTTAAGAGGTTTCATTCAAAACTGTTAAAGCAGGAAAACCGCGTCCAAGATAATAAAGAGGAAATAAAATAACAAAGATAAACAATATTAGACTTCTGAGTGGCCAGACCAGAGGGGAAAGAGAAAAAACAACAGAATACGTTGTATTAGTGTTGTTGAATTAACCACAATTTCACAAAAGCAAGTCTGTGAAATGGTTAATGCCCTTAGCTGTATAAAGTTGGTTTGGGTTTTGGTTTTTTTCTAATGATACTTTGATCTTTTGATCTCAAACTGTGAATCAGCTGTGATTGACGCAAAGCCGACTCCTGTGTAAAGGAGATCGGGGCTTTGCCTGTTCTTCAGATGAAGGCGTGGCATAGTTAACTCAGAGAGTCCTCTAGTGGAAATGCTGCTTATACTGGCCAGACAGCTATTTTCCTTGTGTATCTTAAAAGGATTTTCCAGGCAAATAAGCTATCCAAGCAAAAGGTTTGCTTTGGGGCTTTTGTTGACCTATTTATATCCACCATTGGGCAACAATAACCCACCAAATTTGAAAAATAAACAAAACCAAGTTGTCACAACTATGAGATTTTTTTGACTACCTGGAGTTGAGCAGTTATAATCAGTATTTTGAAAATGGGGAAGAAAAATCGATCCTTAGTCTGCTGCTATTACCTTGTGTACATCTACATCAAGTTCTTTTTAGACACCATTTAGCACTTTCACAATATCTTTATGGGGGTTTGTGGGTGTGTATGTGTTGGTGAGTTTGCATCAGTGTAGCCCTGAGCCTTCTTTTGGCATTTCTACAATCTTCCAAAATACAAATAAATAATAGTTAACACTAGTTTAAGTAGCAGTAAAGTGGCAAAACTTATTCCCATCGGTCTAGATGTTTTCTCTGACACCAAGGAAATGCACCAAATTATTTCATTTATCAGTCTTTAATCTGAATTATTCATGTATCCACTGTTAATTTTATCTTAGTGGGAACTGTCAATACGGTTTCAAAATGGGCCCTTAAATCTTCATGTGTTCCAAATTTCCTCTGCTTAAAATGGAGAACATTATGTAAGATACGTCTACAAACATAGTTCTTTCAGGGCAAGCTAGACTTTGATCTCCCTGTTACGTCAGTTTGATGACTTCAGCTCCTTGAGTTGTTGGATTGGGAGATAAAAGGTAGTGCAGTTCTTCAGAACTGTAATTTGAGGTTTTGTGTGGTTTATTGTTATTTTTTCCTAGCACAACTTACTGAGGGCAAAATATTAGGTACATTTTCAGTGCTTGAAGAAAATCTCAACAATAATATTTTTGCATCTTGCAGAGGTTATTTTGTAGTTGATCACTTAGTACTGATGCTGTTATTTTAGAAGTCTTATTTTGAGTTGGTTTGTATTTTCTTATATTACAAGACTGTTTAAACACTTGAATTTCTTAATAGATGCTTCCCACTTCTGGGCAGATGGTATTTTTTGGAGAGGATGTCAGTTTTGCTCTGTGCATTAGCTAACAAGGTCGTAACTGGTTTGAAAACACAGTATATTGTATGATCATTGTTTCTGGCATATTGTTTTTGAAACACAATCAACTTCTATTGTCCTAGAGCTGTAAATCCTGAGTGTATTCCTGAGCTTTCTTTTTTTCTTTCTTTTTTTTTTTTTGTTTTCCAGATGGCAGGGCATTGCACTTTTATCTTCTACTAAACCATCCTCAGCTTAATAAAAAGTTGTGATATTGCTGTCCACTACACCTAGATTTGAAACATGACAGATTGAAGACCTGACAGGCTCCTACAGGTAATTTAATTTTATTTTATTCCACGTTTAAATAAGGTATTTATTGCATCTAAAGTTTTAGTTCTGTTTTTAACTATTATTATCTCTTGATATCAGATTTTTTACTCTGAAGAGCAGACTGATCTGTTTGACAAAGAGAAAGCTTAAAAAAAGTTTTTTTTCCAGTATTTCAGTTCTGTTTTGAAAATAAGTCCTATCATATCCAGCACAACAAAATGGGAATTTCCCATTCTTGCATTCCTTTCTTTATATGATGTGCTTTGGCAAATCACAAATCTCTGTCACATGGCCTAAAAGAAATTTTTTAAGAGGTGGGATAATAGTGATTTCCTTACCACTATCAGTAATTAAGTTCTGTAAGAAAGAAGAAGTTCCCTCCTGCTGGAAACAGCCATGCAGATTTGCTTTTCAGCAAACAGATTTTTTCTGCAAACAGATTTTGTTTTTCTTTTTAAAAGTCAGTGTGGCTTATTAGCAACCAGGATCAATAGCAGCCAGTACTAGCCAGGAGCTGCTGGAGGACATACCTAATTTGCAGAGAGTTCTTAGTGAAATGTGTCAGGATCTCAGGTTCTGTGTTAGCCTGTGTTACTACCCCATCACCTCATCTACAGTGGTGCTAACCCTGTTTTATACAGGTATGGCCATGCTGATCATCTGGCTTCACACAGGTAACACTACATTCAACCTCAGCATCCGGTTGCGCCACAGATTTATAGTGGCAGTGGAGAACACTGATTTGCTAAGGAATCTAATGTTGGTATTTCAACTGCTGCAGCCTAGTAGTCTGATCTTACCTCGTTATTGAATTGTCTTTTTGACAAAAAGTTATGAACATTCAGAGTGTTGGTTTCCGATCTTAATGTCTCCTTCGTTATTTCATTGTACTATTGTCTCTGACAGTACCTTTGAAGCCTGCCTTTAAGCATGTATATCTGCACGTTTCCAGCAGATGGCAAGATATTCCTAGGCAACGGACTGGGAAACACAGCTGTATATAC